TTTCTTCTCGAGGAACGACGAAATAAGCTCCTTCCGTAGTTCCAGCCATTCACTTCGTTTTCGTGAGAACCTTGGGAGACTTGAGTAGCATCTTGCGAGGAAACGCGGGACCTTAAACTCCTCCGGAGTGCTGGGAGATGTCAAGTAAGCAGATACATTTAATGACTTTTTTTCACTCTCGAGTGTCATTCTTCAGCCGAAGATAATACAAGGAGCGCCCGGGGCTCGGGGGCGAGGGGGGGGGGGGGGGGGGGGGGCGGGAAGCTGTACATCACTAATTGTGGACCATTAGTGACGGATAAGGGATTGAGTTAAGAAGGTAATAATTTGCGACGCTCAGCCGGGCTCTGCGCTGCGCGATCGAAATTCCCACGTTGCCAAACGTGTCTGTAATATAGAAAGGGACCTTTAGTGCCTGAATACACTGTTATAGATGGACCGTTCACCCAGAATTAAAGTAAGATACAGGAGAGATGCATATGCATGACTACAAGTTATGGTGAAATACTCTGCCGCCTGGAGTGAAATATACGTCGCAGGCAATTAGTCAAATCTGAGATTTTATCAAATGAGGCGGGTAGTCAAATTTTGACACTTTACGAAATTGGGTAAATTTATGGCGAATAGGCGAATAAAATTAACTCGTTTGTCCTCTAAAAAAATGAAATAGCAGCGGAAATTTTGAAACATCGCAATTTAAAATTCATGGTTTCGCACTTCAGCCATCGATATCTGCCGCTTTTTGCGGTTCTTATATCGTACTTCTCGGTTTGTGCCGTCGTACCTCAATTCATACAACCAAACTTTCAGATCATACAGATCTGTGAAAATAGTTCAGTGGCATGAACCAGACAGAACTCGGTTAAATGGTAGCTAATAGTGCGGTTACCAAAACTAGATAGTTCAATCGACATGGTTATGGATTCACCCCATGGATTAAAATTAGGTTCGTTGCAAATCTCAGTTAGAACAGGAATGGGAGTGCTTCCTCGCGGCAAGTAACTCAAAAAGTACTACGAGCGTATTCATAAAATTTAAAGTACGTATAACGCTTACTTTACAACATGGAACTTGAACTTGCACTTTTCTTAGCTTCTCGATTTACGCAGTTCAGTACAATGAAGACAGAACTTTATAAAAATGAATCAACGTAACTCTATCGACACTCTCACTGGCCGCTGATATACAAAACAGTTTTTCAATTGCAAGAAAACTACGAAAACGCTTTGAGTCGTATTTGTCGCCGCTCCTTAAACAGCTCCCTCCCTCAGGAGGTCAAATGTGGTTTACATTGCGCAATTAAGGAGGACTTAAGAACACCCTTAACGAGTAGCATATCAAAGCGGAGAATTTTGACGGAGTAAAATTCAACAGAATAATTTCGGGAACAGAGCAACTCTCGCAAGGGACTACAGTGATGTGCCAGTGCAATAAATAAAAAAAAAACACGGCAGGAAAAATTCCATGATTTCGACAAACTGTAATGCATGTTGAGCCTACCTTGAAAATTCCGTAACTGGCCAGAATTATTTCGTTTGTAGGTTTAATTTATCATAGAGGCAAATAATTTCAAGTCTCACAAGGGCCAAAATTATACTGTTGAATTTTACTCGAGATTTGTAAAACTGTCATTATTATGATGCTTCGTTTAGGATCTCATGAAGCCTCCCTCAATCTTGATGTAAAGTATTTGGGGTGTCCTGCGGGAAAGAAGCTGTTTAAAACACGACTATTGATGTAAGGCCTTTGAAACTCAATTTGGAAAGGAGAGGAGTGAGGGAGTTGTGTAAGCTGTAAGAGACGTTTGTTTTGTTGTTTGAATTAGATCAAGAAATTGAGTCACATGTCGGTGGCCAGTTTTAACTTTGTGTTGATCTGCAAGACAGGGATGATTCCTCAGTATCAAATCATACCTTGGCTGTAGAAAATTGTTTTTCAATGCGGAATAAATTCGCTTTATATTGTTAAAAAATTAGAAAATTGCTCACAAAACTTGTGACTGAAAGTTTGAACTTCACACCGTGCTAATGCGTTTATTTTAATTTTTGGGTCATTTTCTTGAAAAGCAGCTTTGGTTCTTACTTTGCAGCAAACACAAAAGCTTGCAAATCTGTGTTTGCAAGATGAGATTGAAGTACCCCGACTTGATAGCACTAAGATCAACTCATGAATGCGAAATTAGGATTTATAATTCTATTAGCTAGTTCCAACTTTCCGCTCGTTAAATAAAACAATAAAAAGGAAGCGAGAAGATCAAACAGATTTGGTGTCACTCACTGACAGTCGGCCTCTTCTAAACAAACTGACTCTCACTTGTTGCGCGACGGTAGTGAAATTGACGAAAAGCACCAATTATTATACTGTGCCCAAACTTAACTTGTAGTGTACACTAATTACAGCTCCTGGAATATTCGCTGTTGGCACTTAGTAACAACGGTTAGTTGGCAAAACTAATTCGGTTGATGTAAAGTTCCGTCGGACCCAAAATCAGGAAAAGCTTTTGTCGGTGAAATATCAGCACACGCCAAAGTGGTCTAAATAATATGCTGAAAATTATGAGTCTCATTAATGGCTTTTAAAATGGAGAGGGCACGTTTGAGGGGACATAACACAGCACACACAGCGACACATTGAAAAGCATTCTAGTTCCAATTTTCCGTCAAAGCTTCCGACCAGTAGCCGTTGCCAATTAATCCAATTTGATAGAAAATTGAATTAGAACCTTGATGTGACGTCACGTTTGAATTCCGCTTTAAATACCCCTACAACTTCCATTATTGGACTTGCATTAAACTATCAATTACACGCATTCATGATACTTATAAGGAGTTAAAATGAATTGAGGGGCTTGGAGGACAAGGCGCATAAGTGCAATTTTTGCTCTTTCGAAAAATATGTGTTTGAAATTTCGAAATTACATGGATCCTGGCAGAAAAAAAGTTCAAACTGACTTTATAATGCTTAAAAATTGGAATTTAGGAGCAAATTTTTCATAGAATGTGCATTAATACTAGTTTTACTTGAAACCATTGATATCTAAATTATTTTAAAAAAAAACTGCACTTATGCGCTTTGTCCTGCAAGCCTCTCAATGGAACCAAAAGGCCAAGACCGCAGAATACTTCTTGCATTGCGCGCACAGCACGGTGCGCGCAACGGATAGTACAGCGCCTTACAAGTCTGCAGGATACTTCAAGCATTGCGCGTATACCACGGTGCGCGCTCAAGTCGTTGAAAAGTCGTATTTTCATGGTGGCGCTAGCTGTACAGTAAATCATATGGTCATAGTTTCTTTGGAGTAAATTAATTTGTACATAATTCCTTACGGCATAAAAATGTCCAATTGTAATACCAAGTTGAGGGCAATGTTTGTCACTGTACGACAAGCTTAAGCATATTGCCAATGACAACAAAGACAGAAGAAGAAAAATTACCTATGTGTAAACGAATAGCGACACAAGTTATCTTTTGATGAAAGAAGTGTCGCAACACCGAGACATTTACGCGAGAACAGATGGAGAGATTGGGGGCGAGAGGGGGAGGGGGTTCGTGATTTGAGCCGTCTGTTCAAGCGCTCGACTGAATGAGTGTAGCTCATTTCCTCCTGAGTTATTTAAAGCGACAAAGATTTCAGGCCCTAATGCATGGGAGTTTTTACAACGGGAGGGGGTTAATCGAAGAGAGGGAATTTCCCTTTATCGCTTTGCAGCTTCTCGCAAAACGCTAAAGCCCACTTTAAAACGATTCTCGACTCCCTGTCTCTCATTTCTCTCCGGCTAAAATAATTATTGCATTGTTCTCGCAGTTTTTCATTGCCTATTAATCTTTTGTTGCCGGATACTCTCTTTCCGCCTACACTGCGTCGACGAGGTACTGTAAAGCCCAGTTGACGGCACCTTTTGACGGAATAAATCAAAGTAGTAGCTTAAACAGCTTGAAATACCAAAATTATGAATTAGTCCTATCAAATTGTTTGTCATTATGGGTATGTTGAACGTAAAACATTCAATCTAATGATTGTACTTCACTCAAAAGTCGCGTTAAGAAGGTCAAAAATGTGTTAAACATTTTGGAGAGTCATGATTGCCTGCGCCCCCCGGGGACCAGGGAGTGGAGCACCCCTCTAAAATATCACTATTTTCAAGAAGGAACCCCCCCCCCCCCCCCC